TTATTCACTACTAAAAAGCTACTGTGAAAGCGAAACATGTGGTGATATTTAAAAAAAATAATCGTTTCCGATGTAATTTGTGAAATTACTATGGATCTTCATCGAGTAACGGCCGATTCAATTTGAAAAAAATGCTATTAATTTGAAAAAACTTATCCTGGTTATCGCTTTATATTAACTTGTGAAGAATTGAACAATTCCAAATTTTCCTCCATAACAATATTCATTTCATTCGGTAAATTCACTGATGATGTGAAAGTCAAACAAAACTCAACAGCATAATCACTCAACGAAATGCGCATACATGAAAAATCAACACATTGCTTTATTGTGCAAACAAATTTACCAGCGTTTTGTTGCATTTTTTTAACTTCGAACCCCGGTCAGTTGTTTGACTTAATGAAGCAGTGTTTGCAAAATTCAGTTTTAAATCCTGAAATGCACAGCGGGAAATGGATAATTGTGATGAATTGAATCATTCCCGTTTCCTGATATCAACGTTCATCTAAAAATAATGGATATTAATAAATGAGTTTCTACAGAGTGCTCGAACAAGGATGAACTTGTCAAAGATATTTTAATTTGAGCTGATTAACAACTGGTTGATTATTAAATAACTACATTCATCATCCGTTCATCATCTCTCCGTTCATTTTTTGTCATCTTCTTGAAAAAAAGAAAAAAAATTTTCTCTTTGAGTATGTTCAAATATGTTTTTTTCGTTAACCAGCTATAGCACCCTTATGAACGACAACCCTCAGAAGTAGAAATTTGTGCGAGCTAAGGACTAACGTGGTCTTACAGAAGCGGCTGGCTTCTTCAGAAGTTTATTCATCTTGATGGTTTACCGATGACTGTTCACCGAGTCATCGTCATCAGTGCACCATCAAGATGAATTAACCTCTGAAGAAGCCAGCACTCGTACTACCGAAACGTCAGTAATCAGTTCCAAACTACGGCCTTCAAACCCGACTGAACATTGTAACAATGAAAAAGGGTGAATGTTGAAAATATATGTTTTGAAGCATTCAATTTATGATGGAAAAAAGTTAGTTGTTACTACACAACACATCATTCGTTGATGTGTAATTCAATTATTAATTATTCATTTTTTTCTTGAAAACCCCTTTGGCGGACAACATGGGGATTTTCTGGCGCTCAATAATGACTGTTGTGTCTATTGAAAACTCCATTTTTTGTAAACTTGGCCTCATCTGTCCATATGATATTGTCGAAGAAATGTTCATCCTCTTTAGTCTTGACAAGTAACCATTCAAAGCATTCCACTCTACGAGGTAAATTGGTCCCTTTCAAATGTTGGACACAGTAGAACTTATAGGGATGCCATTTATGCTTATTAAGAATTCGACAAATTGTCACGTAGGGTATACCTATCTCCCTTTCAGTCTCGTGCAGAGAAGCATTTGGAAATGCATGAAAATATCCCAAAACTGTTATACCATTGTCATCATCATCCACTTTAGTCTTCTTAGGAATGATTTTTGGACGGAAGGTTCCATTCAACCTACAGTTTTTAGTAGTCAATTTATCACATTAATATTAATCTTCGGAAGTTGTGGATATCTTTCATGAAATACTTGGCATGTTCTACTTGCAATTCTATTGCACTCACCATAAATTATTAATAAATTCAAGAAATCTTCATTACTGTAACCTAATCTTGACATTATTCTATTATAATTGGTAGCTATCACAACCAGTCAAAACCACCAACGAAAGTCTGACGTTAAATAATTGGTTTATTTATTTTTCCAAAGCACACTAATAATAGTATATTATGCAACGATCATGTAATGATGGTTAATAAGACACGAGCATTAACCGGGATACGGGATACGTTACATGAGAGTTGCATACGCTATTTTTTCTAAACCCGATAAATAATGAAGAACTATAAATATTATATTTGTATTGAACACATTTACAGTAATTAACTCATATTTTTTTTAAAAAACACAAACTTAATGGTATTATCATGGATATATGAAAACTATAAAGATTCTTATTATATTTATATTGAATATAACAACTGTAATTAATCTGATCTTTTAAAAATATTGGAGTCGATGGTATTCCTTCTATATCGCTGTTTTCAGACATTTTGATAATATAGGTAGGTAATATGAAAACTGATTTTGACAAATAAAGCAATTAGTTACTTAGGTTAGAATCTAGGACAAACAAAGGAACAGGATTCTTGATTGAAAAATTATGGGTTTCTATTGGTTAATAATCTGTATCGTTATGAAAAATCTGTATCATAATGGATATCATTATGAAACGGATTATGGTCATATAAGTGTATTGATAGAGTATGGGTGTAGAAAAAAATATTAATGTGTACTGTTGTACGTCAATTTCGAATTGACTGATCTGAGACAGTTAAAAAAAACTGGATCAAAAAGAAATATTACTAAGTATAAAAAAATGTTGAATATCCAAAATAAGTGATGAATTCAAAAAAAAACGAGCAAGAAAACCACGTCAGTTTCCGTTTGAATCAGTTTATCTCGGTTCAAAATAGAAATAGTATTATCTGAACAAAGTTAATCTTAAATTGGATGTGGAGCTCAAAAATGTTGAAATGTACAGGGTGTTCCATTTGAAAAAATTGAGTTCCACTCATTTTTTCATGAGATCAAAGTATCTGCATTTTTTTGAAGGCCCTGTATGAGACAAATGAAAATATGACTCGAAGTGAAGATCCTCATAGTATCACTCCACTCCATTTCAAATTTGATCGTTTTAGTTCAAGAGAGTTCAAGATTATTAGCATTTATAAAAGTTCATGTTTGGTAAAAAAATATTGAAAGTGATTTGTATCTTCTAAACGGTATAGGAGTATAGGGAAATAGTATATGAATTCGTTGACGAAGTGATAATGAATCATAATATGATATTATATACGGGGTGTTCCATTTGAAAAATCAAAGAAGCCGCTACTTTATAGTAGAAGCGACAACGCCGCTTCGTCTGAAATATTTCAGGCGTGTAGGTCATATTGATTTATGCATACTGTGAAATTTTCAGGTTGATCCCGTCGAATAGTTTGTCAGGAACGGCTAATTAACGCTCATCATGATAAGCCCTGTATATGTATGTGTATTGTGTGTATATAGGCAGATATAAAACTGTAACATGCTTGTTAATAATTTTAATACGTCTTGTTATTGGGATTTATTCCTGTTCAGACATTAAACATTTTTTTTAAATTTTTTAATATGCACTATGACACATTGCCCACCACCTTCAAATACACAGCTAGACTAGGTGAACAACTCAACAAAATCCTTTGGGTATCCATATAAAAAATGTTGACTACATATTGAACCATAATACCTCAATTTGACATAAAGTAATCGGGGAAATCGAGTAATATCAAAGCAGTTCATAAATTTGCCACATTTTCAGATAAGATATCATTAGTTACAGATGATTCAGTAATTCTACCAGGTCTGAAGCCGAATTAACACTGATGAAGAAAATTATTCGATGTAAAGTAGGTATAAGAATCGGTAAATTTTCGTTATCTGGACACCCGGCGATTTTGAAAAAATTTTTGACTGTACTTACTGTTAGATATTCAGTGTATTTGTAACACACCTGTTCTCTGAACGCACCTTGTCACTTGTCAGAAAGCAAGCGTGGATACTTGTCACATTGTGTCGATGAGTTGGCTGGTGCTTCCGTTTTTTGTATGACACGTTGTCACGTCGGTGTTACAGAAATAAAGTAAAAACTGTAAAAGTCGTTTATTTCAAAGTCCAACCTAGTCAAGGATATAACACTTACGTATTTTGATGCGTAGATTACGAATCCGAAAGAAAAAAGCGGCGCTCTCCATTATTTAAGAAGTTAGGGCAACTTTTCAGCCTTCTTTTTCACTAAATAAACTATTTAAAAACACAAACATTTATTCACTAGGTCACCTTTACTCCTTATTCCTCATTCTTTAACACTTTTCACTTCAATAATCAACATTTTTCTTATAAAAAACTTAATTTAAAAACGAGTGCTTCTCCTGGTGACATTATTCTGTTTTTAGGTTAGTTACTAGTGACATTTCAGAAAAAAGCGGTTGGTATTTGCCATCGCCTACTATTTCAAATTCGTAATACACCACCAAAAACCAATTTACGATCTAAAGAATGAAGGTAAAAAACATTTGAATTACTTCAGGAATATGGACTGCATCAGTCGTACCAACCATATCATTAACCTTAAAAACGTAAAATACAGTGATATGTAACCAAAAAGCAGCTCCGTACATTTTTTAACATTTTTATAAGAAAAATGTTGTTTATTGAAGTGAAAAGTGTTAAAGAAGGACGAATAAGGTGTAAAGGTGACCTAGTGAATAAATGCATGTGTTTTTAAATAGTTTATTTAGTGAAAAAGAAGGCTGAAAAGTTGCCCTTTTCTGAGCTTTGAAGGGCCGTAACTTTCTAAATAAGGGAGAGCGCCGCTTTTTTCTTTCGGATTCGTAATCTACGCATCAAAATACGTAAGTACAGTCAAAAATTTTTTCAAAATCGCCGGGTGTCCGCATGACGAAAATTTACCTAAGAATCTTTGGAAAATTCTGGAGATAGTGGATAGCAAATCTGAAAATTCTTTGGAATTGTTTTTCTTTGGAGTTGTTATACCAATGGAGTTTTTCCAAAATATTGGAGAGTATGACCTTTCAATTATTGATAATGACCGCCATATAAAATGAAATGTTAATTTTTTTACAGATATGAAAATATAAAATGATTCATCAAAGTTCGGAGTTGATTGAGGCAGTATATTACACTACCACAATGGATTTTGACATACAATTCTAGGCAGATCATTGGACAGAGAGAAAAGGGTAAGGTGATCAGACAATTGTGTTCATAATTTCCTCCAATTCTTCTATATATTCAATTTTTCTGAACATAGACCTTGCAAACCAACTCATCATACCATTTCAGTCCAATAATATAAAATGTACTTACTAATCAAAAATAAATTGCTTAATAGCCAGTAGCACACAGGTGTTGATGAAGATATTCTCCCTCAATCCTCTCGAATCCTTATCCTGCTCCTTCAAATACTTCCGAAACATTTCCCTAACCTTGTCGTTTTTATCTTCAGCATCTCCGCCATCGAAACTTCGACTACTGGCAGCATCCGGGGAAAATGTCGTTCCTTTTCTGGGATCCGCCATGTCTTGTTTCCTGAGTTGCCACAAATGATAGTCGAATAACGCCTGAAGATGGAGAAAAAAGGGATGAGAGACAATCGAGCGAGCAGATATAAACAGACTTGAAGCACTTCTTCTTCTTTTTGTTTCTCCATTCGGGCCGCAGATTTGTGTTCGATATCGAAGATTTTGCTAGGACATGGGACTCTGGGAAGTTTTGAGCTCGACAGAATCCAAGTTGCATCTGGAATTTTGATAATGAATACACTGACTCGTTACTTGATAATGAATAAACCATTTTCATACTATGAATGTTATTCAAGACGTGTTTCATCACACAGTAACTTCATTAGTTGGACTGGTACTTTGAACTATTCTACAATGTCTTATTTGACAGTGGTGATTAAGATATTCAATTAGATGATTATTTCTGGCAAAATGGGTACTTTGTGAAAAACCAATCAAAATGTAATATTACTTCTTATTATTAATGAATATGTTGAATATGTTGATTCTTGGCATTTGATGTAAACATGTTCAACAATGGTGAGTAAATAACTTATATTTGAACGTTTAAAAAGTTATTTGAATATTGGCGTTTATTCAATTCTGGAGGTTGCAGTTAATTTAATATTCATTCTTAATTTTCTATATGTAATATGCCGTAGTCCATGTTGAAATCATAGTTGTTCTACTAAAGGTGGCAAGAATGGTTTCCAGAGAAAAGATTTTTTTGTGTTCGGAGATATAAACTTCTGAGAACCATCCAATGTTAGTTCGTAGACCCCTGATTTGTTATCTTTGTCTAGTTTTTCACATTTCCAGACAAGGATTCTGTATATCAGTGGCCGCCAACCTCTTCAATGTGTTGAAGAGGTTGGCGACCACTGATATAGAGGTTTAAGGCTAAATCATTTTGAAACTCAATGACTGCCATTTCTGTTGCAGCGATGTCTTCGCCAAAGTTCTGCATAACACAAGTTGCAAACTGTTGGATATCAATTTCCATAAAGGGTGAAACAACAAACTGCGCTACTAAAGCCATTTCATTGAAATCCTTAAAATGATTTTTACCAGTTGAAGTGAAAAATAAACACAGTTATCTAAGTCAGTTCTTAACTGTAAAAAAATATCATTGCTCATTACTTCTACACGTCTCATCACTGTATTAGCAGAAAGTTGCATAGATTTTATAGCTCCTCTTTATTTCTAAAGTTGGCAAATAACGAATCAGCAGCTTCTAAAAACGCCTGTTTTATCATTTCCCCGTCTTCATAAGGTTTCTTTTCTTGTGCAATTATCTGGGACACACGGTACGATGCTTCAGTTGCAGCCTTATTGTTGTGGACTGTTCTTAAAAATATTGATTGTTGTCCAATTAACTGCTTTTTCAACTGTTTCAGTTTCTCCTTTCTGGCGGCAGAATGTAGTGGGAATGATTTTTCAAAATTAGAATGTACAGTTTCATGATGTCTCTCAATATTTCCTTTTTTAGCAACGGAGACCGAGGTATTACATAACAAACACACATTTTTATCTTTACCTTGTATTGTTCTTCCCATTCCGAATGAAAGTAGTATGTCTTTACCTTCATACAACTGCTTGCCATAATATTATTTTTGTTGTTCTCTACTAACCCAACCGCTGGATGTTGGTTACGCGTTCAGTTTTAAACTAAGCGCAATGTCGCCGCGCCGTGCGTATTCATCCCGTTCAAAGCAATCCAGATCGTTCTCGAACACTAACGCGCTGGTCCGGCTGGTCGGTTCTAGCCAATTCTAGCTTGATGGCGTCAGCGGCAGATCGCTCACCGCAACGTTGCCGCTGTTTATGTTTAATATTATGACAATTAGATTTTTTTGTGGAATTTCCGGAAGCTTCTCTGATTTTTGCAGTTTGTATTTTAAAATTAAAATCGTTCTGAGAGCTACCAGAATTGCCTCCGTGAGCTATCGGTAGCTCGCGATCGACAGGTTGGCGACCACTGCTGTATATAGTAAGGGGACATATTTGAAGAATGCCTGTGAATCAAATCATCTTAAAGAACAATTCATTCAGGCCAGTCTCAACTCACCTACACTGTATGTTAACGAATTTACACCTATCAGAAAACAACTATTTCCTTGGCTAGTACCACGAAGGGCGTTGAATTACCGGCAGGTGTCAGTGCAGAATTCTTCACTGAAGTAATTCCTGCATATGCTGTTGGCGGTACAACTGCCAGAATCGATTTTCAATTATTTAGTGCAGATGTTGAGTTGAGAGCAATTTTTGGATAATTGTTAAATGTGATGGATCTTGTACAGGTGCTATTCAGTAATGAAAAGTTCTCACTTCAATCATCTGCTAGCATTATTCAATATACTATAGTATTTGGAGGTTTATCTAATTTTTCAGATGTCAAAAATGATGTATTGTCGGCATAAATGGACATCGCGTCTGCAGAGATACACCCAATTGTATTTAGATATAATATAAAGTGTACAGGCCCCAATATGGACCCTTGCGATATCCCATGCTCGACTTCTACTTGATTAAAAATAATATGATGCTCTACTAAATGATAACGATAGAAAATACTGACATATTGCTTTCTGTTTTTCAAGAAAGTTAGTATCCAATTCAAAGGGCCTTCGCATATTACTGTGTTTGGCTAACTCAGCTAATAAGGATGAATGTTCCATGTTAATGTGATTTTTTGTCAGATACCAAATATAGAAATCTCACGTTGAAAGGTAAGACCACGTTAGTCCTTAGCTCGCACAAGTTTCGACTTCTGAGGGTTGTCGTTCGTAGGGGTGCGACAAGTGGTTGACGGAAAAAACATATATTTTTATACGTTTTGAATAATACGTTTTAAATAATACTGTCTATTCATGATTCATCGCTAAAAGGAATCAGAAATTTGCTCCGAATTATTTTTTCATCAGTAGTGTTTCAAAAAATGAGTGTTTTGAGGGACCTCCTTCGCCAAATCTGCCCCTGGGTAATCGATTTTGTTCAATTCAAACGTTTTTTTTTAGTACCTGAATGTGAGACAAAACCATCTCAATTCATCAACCAAAAATATTTCAATGGAGTGATTTGAATACCTCCTGATTCGTCTTCTGAACTCTCCGCAATGATTTCCGACGAAGTGCTTGAGGTTTCGTAAAGAGACTCCACGGAAGGTCGGAAACGTGGTGGTGTCCTCATATCGGGTTTGTAAAAATCAAATTCTTCACCCATAATGGATTCCCTCACTTCTTCCTCAACGGCCACTTCTTCGGATTCAAGATCCACGGGCGACGGTTTCTCATCCTCCGATGGCGTTTCTATGGAACTGCTCAAACCTGGATGCATTAAAATACAAAAAAATATATATTTTTTTGAGCTTGGACATAATTCGACATAATTCGATTAGTTGGATCCATTTATTCCAAGAAGATATTTTTTTAACTTTCGTTCGAAGCTCCCTGATGGCAGGGGTTTATATTCAACAAGAGAGGGCACAATATGGAACCTTGAGGGACACCGTTTTCAATTTGTATTAAATCAGATTTTTCGTTATTATACACAACTCTTTGAAAAATATTGCAGAGGTACCTTTTTAATAGTGCTACAGCATGTATTGAAAACCCTAGGTAGCCCAAAATAGCAAAGATGAGTTCTTGGTGTATGCGATTGAACGTCAATAGATCTGTGCACATCATCCACAACTTTCAGGAGAGCAGTCGTACAACTGTGGTCAGGTCTGAACCCTGATTGATATCGAAGTCGTTCAGATAATCACGCATTTCCAAGTTCAATATATTTTCAAAAACTTTTGATAGCGCACATAAGACTCTAATTGGCCGGAGATCTAAACTTTCGAGGTTAGAATTTTTGGCCAGCGGAAGAACATTTGCTTGCTTCCAGATGATTTCTCGAACAAATAAATGAAATGGAATTTTTGAGGAACAGTTTGGCCATGAGCTGAATTTCTGCTTTGAGATGGAGAAAACATATCTACTGTTTTTTTTTTACAAAAAAGTGCCACAGGAAAATTATTGATTCAATACACAAAGCTATATCCCAGATTTAGTGGTCGTCGTCTGCAAATGTTTATGCTTAACGTGCCGTCCACAACTGCGGTAGACATATCCAAAGATGATGAGACAAATGTGGCAGTGCTCTACTCATACTCTCACCGCATAATACAATACTCGAGAATTGTAGATTTGTTATATCTCTCTCCTATTTCTTAGCACTTGGTCGGATAGCCTGGGATTAGTAACTGGTTATAGTAATCAGTCAGATTCGTGTATCGTTACTACAGTTACTGCTGAACCGTTAGCGTTATGAACGGTTTCCAACCAAAAGAGGTTAGACATAAATCTTGCTGAAGTGCCTAGCAGCTGGATTGAGGACCGTTTCCTTAAGAAACGGGGGTGGAAGGAAAGGGTCGCCAGGTCCAAACCTGCGGAAGCGATTCCGTAAGGAGGGAGCTTGCGACCTGGGCACACAACCCGGGAGGGGCATGGGGGTGTATCGTTACTACAGTTACTGCTGAACCGTTAGCGTTGTGAACGCTATGATGTCACATGTGACGTCACACCGTAGTGCTCACAGTACTCACGGATCAGATCGTTAGCACTGTGACGTTATTTTACGCCATTCATTTGAACTATCAGTGTTTCATTTCTGTGAATTCAATCGTCTGAAATGAAATTTATTGAAATGTCAGTGAGTTTTTCCGTGTCAATTGAAGAAACTGGCGAGATAGAAAATCTGGGAATCGTTTCTTTGACGTAACGTTGAATACGAGGTCTAAGCTCCAATTTTCCTCGCTTGTTGTTTAACACGAGAATTGTGTTAACCTTCATCTTTGGAGCAACTCGATGATGACGAAATATCTAATATATCTTTCACATCAATATCACCCTCGTCACTGTCCCCGATTGCAGAAACTGTTGGAAATACAAGCATTTTCCGATCTTCATCAGCTACACCACATACTCCACTCATGTTTATTTCAAAAAATGCATTGTTAGGTTAAGTTTAACTTATGGAATTCGTAAGCACACTCACAAGTGGTCCGAATTATTAACACTGCAAACAGACGTTGGCGCTCACGTAAATCGGACCCGACGTTAGCAGTGTGAACGTCGTAAGTGCTGTGAGCACAATTCGGACCACGGCCTTAGAAATATTCTTTGGTTGTCCTTTCCACAACCAAGTGTGACCAAAATATTTAAGAGCTGACTGAAGATATTTCCAACTCATTTAGTTTGTCACTTTATATTGAGGATTTATTGTTCTCTTCCATAAAAAGGGAACACAACTGTTTGCCAATAATAATAGTTCCAGAAAACAATTCTCTTCATTTCATGAAGTCAATTGAACAAGTTGTTTTCCACCGGGAAACAATCATCACATATAAACAGTCTGACTCCCAGACAGCAAGTGGTATCGTTGCCGTTTGAACGTTTTGGTTCCATTCAGGATGGAGCCTAGCTTCCCTACCTTTTCAACGTATGTTCGTCAGGAGGTCAGACGAGACCCAACCAACTGGCGATTGACGACGGAACGAAGGTCCTCAGGCATCCGTACCGGTGTACCTCTACCTGGCTGGAATGTCGGGTGAAAAAGTTAGTCATCCGTTAACGAAGGATAAGAGGGCCTCATTCGACTAAGTAACAGGGCCGTCTATATCGGTAAGGGTCATCTACTGTATGATCTATAGCTTCTCTAACGGATTATCGTGAGTTTCCGCGTTATCAAGAACTAGCCGATTCCTTTACCGAATGGACTGCTGAATGGAAGGCAGCTGCAAATCTCTGCAGATGGCTTCAGTCCGCATGAACCACGGATCATTCACTATCATCCGTATAGTAACTCATTTTGGAATCTCTCCAAAATGGAGAGCCGTCCGAGCCGCTTGTACCCAGACGTATGTAACATCGTACCTCGATCCTGGACTTTGAGTTCTTGAAGGGCGGAGTCCAGGTTAGCCTACAGCCCATTAGAAGGCCAAGTTACTTTACCCGTGACTGCCAGTCGATCTCCCTTTCAGAGACCACCACTTTCATGGCCAGAGAGGATGTCGTTATTGCCTGGGTTTCGTTCGAGTTCATTTGGGTCTTCCAATCGAGTAACCAGCGCTCGAGGTCATAGAATGTACGTTGTACGCCATATCGTCGGCGTACAGGGATGTCTCCACACGCTGGGACCTCGGAAGGTCACTGGTGTATACAGAGTAGAGCGTGGGAGAGAGTACGGCCCCCTGTGGCACTCCAGCGAGGATCTTCCTGTTGTCAGATATGCAGCCCTCTAGTCTGACATGAAAGGTCCTGCCCTTCAGAAAGGGTCAGATCCACTAGATCAGGCCCCGAGGCAGGTCGAACTCGAGGAGCTTATGTAGAAGGCCTTCGTGTCATACACGGTCGAAAGCCTTCGAAATGTCTAATAAGACGTCCACTTTTTCATTGTTGTTCAGCTCTTTGATGGTGTTCTCGACCAGTCTCAGAGCTTGTAACTCAGTTGATATCGTTGCAGAACTCGACTTGATTGGCAGAGACGGTGAATTGAGTGGAGCCCTCATATTTGTGATAGTTTCGCGCTTTTAACAATAGTTTAATAATACTACAGCCTCCAAGAGCGATCTTGATCTACAAATCAAAATGGAAAACTGAAGAAATGCTCTTAGAAGACAAAAAATAGATTAGGAAGTAGGATTAGTTTAAGTTTTTTGGCAAATTATTTTTTTCATTGATATTTTTGTGTAATATTCGAAGTTACAATTTATTCTTTTCTTTTTGAAAATATTGAACAGTGAAATAGATAATAGGAAATAATTTGAAATGTTAGAGTTTCTGGAAATATTAGATAGCCAGGAAGAAATAAAAACAAATACATATGATGATTTGGAAGAATGGAGCAAGCAAGAAAATGTAGGGTTAGGACCTTCAGAATTAAATAACATCAGAAGCATAAGGAAAAATTACGATGAATTATTGATTTATATAGCAGATAATATTAGCGTTTTGGACATAATAGTTTTATCTGAAAACTGGAATGTAGATGAAGTAAGTGACTTTAATATTCCTGGTTTTACGGTTCACTACAATGACTCAAAATTTAATCAAAATGATGGTCTACTTGTTTACATAAATAATAAAATAACTGCAGATGTACAAATTTTCAAACAAACTGAAACAAATTTAGTAAGATTCTCAATCATTAATGAAAAGAGAAAAAATAGAATCGGCTTAACGGCTTCGTATAGACCACCATCTACAAATATAGTGACATACCTTGATAACCTTCAAAACTATTTAGCATCACTTTCAAAAAATCAAATTGAAATAATTATTGGTGATATCAATATAAATTTACTAGATACTAGATCAAACGAGGTACAAAATTATCTTAGTATAATGTACGAACATGGTTTTTTCTCATATATAAATGTCCCCACTAGAGTATCCAATGACTCAAGTAGTATAATTGATCACATTTTTGTGAGCCAGAAAAACTGTTGCAAGAACTACAAAATAGCGCCCGCAGTTATACAATGCACTTTAACAGATCATTTTGCCACGTCATTAATAATTAAAAGCCCTCATGAGGATAACTTGAATATCACTAAAAATTCAACTTCATATAGCAAAATAGATTTTATTAAATTGAACACTTCACTGAAAGGAGAAACGTGGAAATAAGTTTGCTCCTGTCAAGAAGTGCAAAAATCTTATGACATATTCATTGAAAAACNTAGGAGGTTTACAAATAATGCAAAACACATTACTGAAAATTATTTGTAAGAAGGACCGTTTATTTTCCACAAAAAAGCTGTATGAAGAAATCAACTTATTCAACATCAGAAGTCTCTACTCTTACTCTTGTTTAATATGGATATTTCATAACAAAGTAAATTACCAAAGTTCAACTATTGAAAAAGAGACCAGATCTGTTATAAAAAGGTCTATCCATCTACCTTTATTCAAAAAAAGTCATTCACAGAAATCTGTATATTACTTTGGCCCAAAACTTTTCAATTTACTACCACCCGAGTCCAGGAATATTATAGACATAAAGAAATACAAAATTGCTATAAAATCATTTCTACGCTACAATCAACTTATTATTGAAAAATTATATTGAACACATATACTTGAAAGCTCCATTCTCCAGAAATATCAAATGTATATAAAATGTCTGACAGAATAAAAATCTCCTTTTAAAAAAAGGGATACCTATCACAACACAAGCGCATTTGCGCTTAGGTGAAAGGTCCCAATATATGAAAGGGGATAAGAAATATTTATATATTATTATTAATTTTGTATTATTATTAATTTGTAATTATTGTTTGTAATATTATTTGTAATCTGTATACGTTGTGAATAAAATCATGAATGACTCGTCGATTCTAATGTTTACCGCTGTTACGAACCCAGTGTCCGGCATGAACTTGCAGGGTATGGTCAATAAACCCAGAAGATAACTTCGATAGAGATATTTCTGAACTTGAGAGATTACTTTTACTTCACTTACGTTGAAATACTCCCACTACTCAAAAATCTGCAGAAATTATTGATGATATGGTTGATGATAAATACAGTGACTTCACCATACTCACATTCTTCATCACTGATCCAAGGGCATGGTTTCTTCGGAAGCTTGAACAACTTCGTCTCTTCTGGAAATGTTATAGCGATGAAGCTTCCTGCTTCCGAAGAATCGCTCGAGCCTAAAGAATCAGATGAAGAGACATTGTCTTTTTTCGTTAGACTCAAGCGTTCTTTCAAATCCAATGAAAAAAGTTCGGTAGGTAAAGGTAGTGAAGGCACTCCTGTCTCGATATGATCTTCGGCAATAGAAAAGGCTTCGCGGATGATTTTGAAAACGGTCTTTCGGGAAAGGTCAAGACGTTCGTCTGAAAATCGATAGAAAGTGAATAAAATCAATGAGTTGTTGTCACTGCGTGTAAAATAAATGAAAATATATACCATTTGTCCAATTTCAATTGCCCATTTACAAAAAATTGCAGAAATAAAAGAAACAACAGATACTTCAATGTTACTTCATCGGTGTATACCAGTGAGGGTGGCACTGTTCTATGTTAGTGCAATTTATTATCATTCATTTAAAGTAGAACTCATGTGAATGATATCTAATTTTTATCCCACAACGAATGTTTGAAATACAAACTGAGTAGAGAAAAGTATCTTCTGTATAATTCAGTGTTCATATACCGGGTGTCAACGAATCTATTAGACAAGTCATAACTTCTAGACTATTAGGTGTATCAAAACGAGATTTGGTAGAGATAAATGGTATGTGGAGAGGAGAGTTTTCACATATTTTTCACTTTCCGGTCACTTCCGGTTTCAGCGGAAATGGCTCCGGTTCTGAATTTTTAAATGGAACACCGTGTATATTGTAACATTTTTGGATTTCTGAGACAATTCTGGATCAGAAACTGACATTTCCGGAAGTTTTTCAGCCTACTTGATTTTTTCAGAGTCACTTTTAAAATTGCATCTAGGTGGCCATGATCGGACGTAAACTAATCTATGGACCTCAGGTGATATCAGAAAATTGCAA